CCATTGGTTTTATTATCTATTTTTCTTTTCTTTAAAATAAAAGAAAGAAATGGGGAACAGTGGAAGGTGATAAAAAATAAGTAAATAAATATATGGGCACAAGTCATGAGGTGTCTTTGGCATGGGGTGTCCCCAGAGCCCAAACTGCAGACATTCCTTGTAACTGTAACAACTGCAACCCTGGTGCTCAGGGTGAAGGGAAGCTGAGGGTGAAATGAATTTAGAAATGGAGGTGCTCCTGTTTATACCTTTTGATGGAAAAGACAGGGCCACAGTTTCTCACAATCCCCCTCCTCATATCTTTGTACTCTTTTTCTTCAGACTCTCTGAGAAGTCCGTTCTCTCTGTTGTATCCCTTCATTAGAAGCATGTTATCCAGATAAGGGGAAGGAGACAGTTTCATAAGGGCAGTGTCTGGGAAAGAATAAATAAACTATAAAGCACATATGAGCAGAGCGTGAGCGCTAGAATGGAAAGGACAACTGTAACTGGCTGGCTCTTAGATTTGTCTCCCAGTGTGGCCAGAAACCACCAGCAGGGGTTAGCAACCAGAGTGCCTCGTTTATGTCTAGTCTACATTACTATAACTTTTATACTTTTGGTTATACTTTTCATTTGAGTATTTAAGACCAAGTTAAATTGAGACCAGTATTAACCAAAATGAACTCCTTTTTTGCCAAATGCCAAGATCAATTAAGCTTCCCAAGGGTTAGTTGTGGGACCATGTGTACAGCTCCTCAGGTCTTCCATCAGTATTAGCCACTAGGGTGGTTCACTGTCTTGCTTGACCATGTAGCTTCCTGTGAAATCATAAAAGATACTTCTCTCTTTAGTGACTCTACTTTTTCGCACACAGTACCTCAGTTCATTCCTGTTCTTTCAATCTCAAGCACCACAAAGACAATACACACACACACGTGCACAGGTGAACACACACACACACACACACACACTTATACACAATTTATTCTCGCAGTCTGGAGGCCAGGAAGGCCAAGATGAGGGGTCCGTGTGGCAGGGTTCTGGCGAGCACTCTGGCTGGACGCAGATGGCCGCATCCTTACTGCATCCTCACATGGTGGAGATGAACCCCACTTCATTTCTTCTTTCTTCTTACAAGGGCATTAACCCCATCATGGGGCCTTCATCTGCCCAACCTCATTTAAACCTAATTATCTCCTGAAGGCCCTTCCTCCAGTGCTATCACAGTGGCTGTTAAATCTTCAACATAAAATTTGGAAAGACACAAAATTTTAGTTTATAATCAAATGGGTAAGCATTTTTTTCTAAAAAAAGATTTATCCTTATCCTTGCTTACAAGTTTGCTTTATTTCTTAATTTGTTTTTAAATGAGAGCTATAAATTAGCCGCAGTTTTACTGGAGCTGTGCTGTCTGTCCCTTCCTTTGAGTCTCGGGTTCAGTGGCCTGTTACATTCAGTGAAAGAAAAAGTATATATTAAATGTATCTTTGTTTAATCTGAGGACATGTACAATAAAGTCAAACTGACTATTCCAGCTTAGTCTTATGCTACAGTAGGAGCACTGAGTTGTAAGGCTGCTGAAATTTGAGCAATAGAGAGGCTGTGGTCCAGAAAGGTTAGTCAGTGGATGGAAGAGTGGCTGAAGTTAAAATACAGAAATCTGGATTCCAACCTAATGAGTTTATTTTTCCAATAGGCAGGAAACAGGAAATCAGTTGCATGCATGCCACTGCCATCTACCAGTGTACCGTCAAGCTTGTAACCAACACTGATTACTTAGCATCTCCAAAGCACAGCTCCAGGAACCTCCTTGACACTGCATTCCAGGAGCATCTGCCATATCTGGATGTTAAAATAGATAAACACCCCTCCTTGCTGGTCATCTGATTGGTTCTGTAGCCTCCTCCCAATTCCTTAGTCACAAGATGGAGACAACACATGACTTTAGTTCTAGAAAGGATCTTTGCGGGGCTACTTGCTAGAACGCTTTGCCAGTTTCTCAGCACCATTTCAACCTATACACAATATGTACAAACATATTACTGTTATTTTGATATATTGCACTGGAATGAACTGCGTATTTTATACACACAGAAAGAGCCATAAAATAGTATTACAAATTATGTGCAAAGACAGGAGTAGATGCTTTAAAATATTTATTTCATTGCCATTACAGATACATCTCATATTTATTCTTTACAGAAACTAGAAAAGAATGAATCTAATCGTTTGGTACTAGATGACTGCATGTTTCAAATGGTGCTAAATCTTGCATGCCGGCAGTATCAGATTCAGCAACCTGGTTTTGATAAGGTATGCACGCTTCCTTATTTGTGTTGCAGAGTTAAGATCAAGAACAGTCATCCTCCTTCAATGAAACATTCCCAGGGAACCTGGTTTGCACCTGCTACAGTTTGGGTCTAGGGTGTCCCACAGGGCACATGTGTGAATGCTTTGGTCACCAGACTATGGCACTACTGGAAAGTGATGAAATCTACAAGTGGAGCACAGTAGAAGGAAGCAATGTCATTGGGAATGTGCCTTTGAACTTGAACCCCTTTGGGACCCCATGCTGTTTTCGCTCTTTCGTGTTTCCCAGCCACCATGAGATAAGCAAACTGTCTCTGTAGTGCACTCCTATCACAAGGCACTGTGTTACCACACGTTTAGAGGGAACAGAACCAAATGACCATGGCCTGAAACCTCTGAAACCAGCAGCCATAATAACTCAGGTATTGTATCACAGTGACAAAATGCTGACTATCATGGTACTTGGTTTGTGTCTAGATGTCCCCACAAAGCCTACTGTGGTCATAGGGCTTTTTCAGAGGTGGTTGAATCTAAAGTGTGTGATGCTGGGATTAAGGGTATGAAATTTCTAAATCAGTCCACTGATTGGTTTTGCGCAGCCCTATCCTGGTGATCTGGATGAGATAAAATGGACAGAAAGTGGCTTGTCTTCCCCCTTGTTGCTTTTTCTGTCTTCCACCATCATGAACTGTTGCCCCTCTGCCATGTGTCACCCTGTCTTGGAGCCAGCTGATTATGGACTGAAACCTCCACAAACTGAAAGCTGAATAAACTTTTCCTCCTTCTTACTTTGGGTATCAGGTATCTTATCTCAGCAATGAGAAAAGTAACTAAGATATTGAGCAATAATTGTGATATATAATTATTTTGTAAATAGGCAGTAAAAGAGAAATCTCTTTATACCAGATTTCTTAGTTACCACCTGGGTTCTAATTAAAATTCACTTTTGGTGTACATAATAGCATCAGATAATGTTATCCTTCTCTCATTATGTAATAATTATATCTGTGGCTTTGGTTTTGTTTTTAATTAGCTTCCACAGTTCTCTACAAATGACATAGAGAAACCAATGTTTTTTTTTTAATGATAGACAAAAGCTTAGGGGCTGGGGATTTAGCTCAGCGGCAAAAGCGCCTGCCTTGCAAGCGCAAGGTCGTGAGTTCGGTTCCTGGTACCGGAGAAAAACCAAAAAA